TTGAATTTTCCCTCTTTTCCTCGCTTTCCTTCGCTTTTAAATAGCTTAAAAGCGCCGTGCACATTTTACTTTCACTTTTGAATTAACATTTAATACAACGTCAAACTCACTTTCGCCTATAGGGCCTTTCGCACCGCTTTAGTTCCAGAACTAAATGTATCCCTCTATTTTCCTTGCTTTCCTTCGCATTTAAATGGCTTGTAAAAGCGGTGTGCGCATTTTACTTTCACTTTGAAATGGCGGCAATTCGGAGTAAAGGAATTGTTCGTTTTTAGTTTGTTTGAATTTTCCCTCTTTTCCTCGCTTTCCTTCGCTTTTAAATAGCTTAAAAGCGCCGTGCGCATTTTACTTTCACTTTCGAATTAGCGGCAGGTCGGCGTCAATTGCTTAAATGCAACAACAAAATACAATGTCATACTCGTTTTTGTTGTGTCTCGCGGGTTTCACAATAATGGACATGGAAAGTCAACGTATACGTAAAGGGATTGTAAGAACGGAAAGGAGGAATAAGAATCTCCAACGACAACTGGCAGTGCCATTTGCTACAAGTGCCTGCACTTCAGCGTCCGTCCATCTATCGCTGTTCTCCATACTTGCGAAATAAGTTGACACATGAAAAGGTTCCTGTGGTGCGAAAGGCCCTTATATATAAAACACAGAACTTTTATTAAACAAAACGAATAAAAATACACCATGCTATAGGGCAAGCTATGCCTAATATGAAATAGCAAATAACTTACATAAGGTTTAATAGGTATACAAAACTGGAAAAAACTAAACATGTATAATATATAACTAAATAAATAAGAAACGTAGAACGTTTATTAGCAAAACGAATGTCAAATAAAATAAATATATGAGACAAAGTTTAAATAAAGTAAAAATCAGCAAACAATGTGGAACCAATTAAATAAGAAACTAATGTTTTAAAGGCGATGGTCTTGTCTGTCTCACCTCACCTCACTCTTCTTGTCAGTCAGCTCGACTCAATCTCCTCACTGGAGAAATGAAATCTGATCTGGGATGCGACTGTCGTTCGGCATGCTGCATTGAGCAGCCGCGTTCAGTTTTTAATTTTAGTGTCTGTTCTTTTACTGAATTAAATGACTTTTATTACTATAAAAAATCTAAATGACGGTGGGGGTCGGTGAGCAAGTGACGTAACCGGTGTTGCGGCTTAACACCGGTATCACCGTCAGCACCGTCTATCGCGGCAAGCCTAGTCTTCTGCCAGTTAGCGTTTTCTGTTTTGTTCTTGCATGTATGCTTAAATGTTTGTCTCTCAACATTAAAGTCTATGATTGTCTCTCTTAGGCCGCGGGGGTCTGAGAGGTCGTGGAGGGTTTGCAGGAAGGGGTCGTGGACGCGGCAGAGGCCGAGGAGCAGGCCGTCCCGTTGTCACACGAGAGCAGCTGGACAACCAGCTTGATGCTTACATGTCCAAGACCAAGGGCCATCTGGATGCTGAGCTGGATGCGTATATGGCCCAGGCAGACCCTGAGAGCATGGAGTAACCACAGCCGAGCTGAGAGAGAGACAGCAGCTCCCCAAAGATCTGCAGATAATAGACTGATTGACAAGATACACATTCAGTACCATTAAAGCTGTTGCTCTTGGACACTCCCCGAGAAGACATTTTAAACTTGAAGGTTGTACAAAGTTATGGTTCCATCCCAGTCATCTTCAAAGATTTGAGAGTCGCCACTCGCATTTTCTAAACTGAACTCTGTACCATCACACAAGCCTACCACAGTTCTAAAACACAAGTCCTCTTAGAAAACGTTTGGCAGTAAAGTGAAGGGGAAAAAACATGTTTTCCTTTGAGCTATAATAATAGAGATTGTGCTTGTAATGTTTATTGGCTGAAATTCTGAAAATGACCCAATGTATGCGGAGCTGTGAACTCTAACCAAGGACATTTGATCATCTGGTGTTAAAATGTGGTTTATATAGATGAACAGATGTTAATTGCCATAATGTTCTACAAATGAAACTTGCGTTTTATTACTGTATTTTTAATGTTTTAAAGTAGAACTTTTATTCAGTATACACAGTCTTGAAATGTCTTTTTTTGTCTGTTTTAAAAGTATATTGTAACCCACAACCTTTTTTTTTTTTGTTTGTTTTTTGGCTTCAAATAAATCTTGGCCATAAGACGCATGTGCTTCCATTGACTTCCTGAACAATATTATCAATTTGTTTTTCTTTCTTTCTGTCTTACAAGCTTCAAATGTTCATTATCTCCACAAGAGGAAGGTATAAAGCTGCGTGTGGCCTGGGTTTTATTTTTATTTTATTTTTTATTTTTTCTTCAAAGCATAATTTAGATTGGTATAATTAAATGTACTCAAGATTGAACTCCGGAGTTTAAGACCATGTTTTCGTTGTGAATGTGAACGATGAGTAATGAGAGCTGGGATATTTGTGCACAAATTTTTGTGTATCACAGAAATTATATTAAATATTGTTTCAATATATATTCACAATACACAGGAGGGTTGTAACATCAAAAACATGAACTCGGAGGTTAAACTAAAGTGTTAAAAGAAAAAAGGATCGTTAAATAAAGATCATAAGGCCTTAGAAAAATTATTAAAATTACAGATACATTTAAGAGATACAATATGAAAAATGTAACTAAAAATTTAAACATGCTTAACATATTTGGTCTTATGTTTTAAACTTTTACAATCAATTACTTGTAAATTAAATTCATCAAAATATTTACCGTGTTGTGAGTATTATGAAATGTATTCTTAAACTATCGAATTAACGTTTTACTTAAATCTATCACTTCAATAAAATAGCAATTCACAGATTATAAAAGTACACCGATAACTATTTGACGACTCGAAGCCTCTTCGAAACGGAACTGACGTTTTGGGACAGCGCACCATGGCAACGCTCTTCAGCGTCCAGACGGAAGCAGCTGTGCGGTGAGATTGAGCGCGCTCAGATCCTGCAAACTACAGCATTACTCTGCGCTGTGCATATGCAAGATATTATAACCGCCTTACTGAGTATTTGTCGTTTCATTATTTCATATAAAAAACTTTTGCTTCACGGCTGAAAAGTTGAGGCTGCACTGCGCGAGCGAGACGATGCTTGAATCCATTGAAGTTAGAGGTGAGTCTGTCAGTATAGTGTATAGTGTTCTTCAGATTGCATAGACATAATAACCTACTGCTTTAGGGAACTGAAGTGGATATTTAATTCAAACGAGACTCCTTCGAATTAACTGCAGAGTCGTCATACATCCACCAAAATTACTGCAATCATACTTAAAACTAATAGCAAAAATGGCTCCAGGAAGTAAAATGAGTTCACTTTTTTCGTGTCCAATGCATTGACATGTTTAGTGTATCCAAATGTACTTTATGCATGCTACATCATCGAATGAAGCCCTAAAGATCTTAATATAGACAGATAGTTTTATGTGCTTTTCACTAGTTTGGCTCTCTGGTGCTGAGGCTGTGGTCCTTCTACTTCAGTGCACCTGTCAGAGCTGTTCTCTATGATAAGGCCTGGGATCGTTTCACACAGGCACGTGGACTAGTGTGGCCATTGTGTGCCATAGAGTTGCCTGATGTAACACTGATAAATTATATGTATCCTCAGGGCTGTCCTTAGGGGGGTGCAACTGGTGCGGTCACACCGGGCCCTGCGCTTGAAGGGGCCCCGCGGTGAACGGACTGCTTACAGCGTGCTTCATTTCACTGTGCAGTTTGGATCTGTTTCTCGTCTTTTGTTGGAGTCAAGGTTAAGTGGGCGAAGGAGATTTTGTTTCCAGGGAAATGGGGATGCAACACTGAATTGACAATGGCGGGACTGGTCTCAAGTTTAAGACCAGCAGTATTTACTTTTCTTGAAATTCCACCTGGTGCTCTGTTATCCCATCCTAATATTTTGATATTGTCATGGCAAAAGGGTGTTGTTAGGTCCCAAGATTAGCAATATAGTATTATAGAGTAGTATAGAGGTTGTAGTACTCAAGCCCGAACTCCAGCGTTTAAGACCATATTTTCATTGTCTTGGTCTTGTCATAAACTCAGCAGCATTTGGACTTAACCCTCAAGTCTCTGATTTGACTCGGATGAGACCCTTTATGGTCTTATACTTGACTCAGACGCGACCCTCTTCTGATCTCGGTCTCGATCCTCTTATGGTCTCAAACTTGACTCGGACACGACCCTCTACTGGACTCTGACTTGACTCAGACATGACCTTCCTTTGGTTTTGGACTTGACTTGAAGCGACCCTCTTCTGGTCTCAAACTTAACTCAGATGCAGCCCTCTTCTGGTCTCAGACTTGACCCTCTTCTGGTCTCAAACTTGACTTGAACGCAGCCCTCTTCTGGTCTCAAACTTGACTTAGATGCAGCCTTCTTCTGGACTTGGACTTGACCCGGATATGGCTCTCTTCTAGTCTCAAACTTGACTCAGACTTTACCCTCTTCTAGTCTCAGACTTGACTCAAAGTGATCCTCTTCTGGTCTTGAGCTTGACTTGGGTGTGACCCTCTTCTGGTCTCAGACTTGACTCAAAGTGACCCTCTTCTTGTCTCGGACTTGACTTGGGTGTGACCCTCTTCTGGTCTCCGACTTGACTCGGATGTGACCGTCTTCTGATCTCAGTCTTGGTCCTCTTCTGGTCTCGAACAAAACCCTTTTCTGGTTTCAGTGTTTACTTAGACATAACGTACTCAAGTCTCGGCCTGGAATCGAATGAGCTGGTCTCAACTACAAGACAGCAATTTACTGTAGTACATCCTTAAGTATATATTGTATATGAATATAGTTTTTTTGTCGTTTCATTTCCTTCCAGAACAGCTCCATTGGCCAGAGATGGAAATGTCTAAGAGCTGTGTCCTAAGCCCCATGGAGAAGCCTGTGAGCCCCAGTCAGCTGCGTCTGGAGCGCATATCTTCTGGTGTTCTGAAGGACCTGTTTAACACAGCCACCGGTAGTTACAACACGCTGCTGCAGAAAGAGTCAGATGCTCAGGAGAGCCCTAAACACTCCTCCTACAAGTGCCCCAAACGAGTCTCCACGACAAGGCATCGCGACAGACCCCTGCCGACTCTTGCGCCTCTAACGATGAGTGGCCTGGCCTTTGGTTGCAGAGACAGCAGGCATGCTCAGTCGGTGTTCTCCTGTTTCTCCACCAGCAGTTCCAAGCAAACTAACAGCATCACCGTGCTGGGCAGTGCCATCCGCCTGGCCCCCTGCCCCATTCCCAGGCCCAAAAACAGCTGCCCGGCTGGCACCAAACTCCCACAGCTGTCCAGAGTGCTTCCTGCTGCTCGTGATGGAGAGAACTCAGTCAAGAAGCTCTGCATACTCACTGCCATAAAGCCGTCTAATGTGGAGAAAGAGAAGGCCAGATTTTTCAAATCGGAATTTAAATACAACCCTCAGTTTGAGTACAGCAACCCTTTGCCTCCACAAGTACTAGCAAAGCACAGCACCGCTTCAGACCGCTTCCTCACACAGGTGAGTGTCCATACTCTCAAGGCGGTCGCACACCAGACGAGAAGCACAGTGCCGCGCCACGTCTAGAACAATTCGTAAAACAAGTACAACACGACGTAGCTGGGCGCCGCGGACAGACGCTGAACGGCACTGCCGGTGGGCGTACACTCATAGAAAACAATGTATTCGAATTTTAAAGATGTGGCGCGACGTGGCGCTGCATTTCTCGTCCGGTGTGCGACCGCCTTCATACAGATCAGATTAAGGACCTTGACTCGGTATCCATCGTTATCCAGTCACAAACATACACTTGTTCAAAATTGGGCCTGAGGACTAAGCCAAAAATGTATTTAAAGGGATAGTTCACCCAAAAACGAAACTTTGCTGTTAATTTACTCACCCTCAGGCCATTTAAGATGTAGGTGACTTTTTTTTTCTTCAGCAGAACAGTAAAGAAGATTTTTTTAGGTGAAACTGTTATCCTTGGCAATTCATACAATGCACGTCTATGGCTGGCAGTTTTTGAGCGTCAAAAAAAAACAAATCAGACAAGACCAAATCAATACCCGTGGCTCCTGACGATACATTAAAGTGTTATGAAGTGAAACGGTCACATTTACGACAGTGAAATCCAGTGATTTCAACAGGAATCCACGCAATTGGCAAGGCAAAAGATTTACCAATGCATATTCTGAAATGGGTTCAAGTTTGACACATGAATTCGCCACCAATATAAAGCTGTTTGGTTTGAAAGTGACTTCTGTGTGAACTATGTTTCCTACATTGCTACACTATTGACTATAGACAATGGACCTTTTTTGGCAAAATTTTGGCAAAATTACGATGTGACCGCACCTTTACATACACTAGTATGCAAACATAGTGCACAGTCCCCACATAGTGTGTTTTGGGCCCTATACCTTTTTAAATTACATTGTGTTGCAAGACAGCCTCCGAAATGAGACGCAGCTATGGTGAGATACAAGTCAACATTTTAACTACTTTAAAGGGGTGGTTGATTGCGATTTCACTTTTTTAACGTTAGTTAGTGTGTAATGTTGCTGTTTGAGCATAAACAATATCTGCAAAGTTATGAAACTGAAAGTTCAATGCAAACGGATATATCGTCTACAAAAACGTCTGGTAGGGATACAACGACCTACTTCCCGGGTTTGTGACATCACAAACCCAGATAAACCCCGCCCTCGGGAAAAGGCAGCAAAGGGGGCGAGGCCATGCTGCGCTGCTTCAGAGTAGAGAAAGAGAAAACTAGAGGTGCATGTAAAAATCTATTCATATATGAATCGCGATTCTGTCTTCTAACGATTCTAATGGATTCACAAGTTTCAAAATCAATGTTCTAAAGCAGCGGTTCTAATCCTGTTCCTCGCGTCCCCTGCTCTGCACATGCTCTGCTCTGCTGCATCTCTCTCTCTCTCTGCAGTTGAACAGTCCACAAGTCGTCAAATAAAGCACGCGCATCGCCGCATCCATAATAAAAACGTGCCGCAGACGGCTCCAGGGGGTGAATAAAGGCCTCTTGTAGCGAATCCATGTGTTTTTGTAAGAAAAATACCCATATTTCAAACGTAATAAACACTTTTCTCTCACTTCCGCTAGTGAAGTGAAATAAAAACTATTATTTCACTTAGAAGTGAAATAAAAAGCGCCCATCCATAAAAGCACCCGCTGAGTGCCATTAAACAGCTTGAAAGATCAAAGACAATTTTTAATATAACTCCGACTGGATTCGTCTGAAAGAAGAAAGTCATATACACCTAGGATGACTTGAGGGTGAGTAATTTATGGGCTAATTTTCATTTTTGGGTGAACTAACCCTTTAAGCTAACTGAGACTTGTTATAGCACTTGTATATCATTGCTCTTTTGTTGATTTTGATTGCTTCCATTGTCCTCATTTGTAAGTCGCTTTGGATAAAAGTGTCTGCTAAATGTGTAAATGTAAATGTAAATGATGCACACTCAAAAATTAGCCAAATAGTCATTTTGGACACCTTTAGCATACAAGTGTTGTGATGCACTTATGTTACAGCTAGATAGTATGCAAATTGGGATGCAACCTATGAGTAATTAACAATGTCAATTTATGTCAAATGGTTCTGTTTTCATTTTATTGCACGCTGCATTGCTTTAAAAAGGACTTGGGAGAGAATTAGCAAATGTACATAAGGATTCAGCCATGTTTGTCTGAGAGCTGACCTGGCCTGAACTTGGTTAAAGAGCTGTATTGTGCCAGAAGTCACAGCAAATCTGCCCTCAAGGACTCTGTTTGATTCTCTCTCATGATCTGCCACATTTAACTTTCATTTGCCTTCATCCTTTTTGGTGTTGATATCTTCTCTAAGGTTTTGTGTTAGTTATTTTCATTCACACCCCATAATCCAGCTCCTGGTGGGCTGCAGTTCCAACCCTCCTCCAACACGCAAACCAGTAGTTTTCAAATAATCCCGAAGAACTTGATTAGCTGGATCAGATGTGTTTAATTAGGGTTGAAGCTAAACTCTGCAGGGCCGTGGCCCTCCAGGAATTGGGTTTGTCAGCCCTGCTGTAAGGTCACAGTCCTATAAGTGAGATTAAGAGGAATTGCTCCTTAAAAAAACATTCGGACTTTTTAGTTCTATACATTCAACCTGGATTAAGTTAGAAACAGGTGCTTTACCTTTATAGCTGCGTCTCAGGCTCAGCAGCTCAAAGCAATGTGCTACAACTGTAGGTGCTGCCAACAACACAATCAGACTAATAAACCTCCTTGAAGGAGTTCATTAATTCAATTTAATTCAGTTTCCTGCTAGCTATTAACAGAGCCAACACTGTGAGAGCAACACAGAGCACTTTGTACAGGGCATCAGATATCCCATAATAGTTTTCCTGGCTGCAAAAGCCAACAAAAACAACATAGCAACCCAGGTAGCAAAGACTTCTGGCCCTGATTTGGCATGAAGCCGGCAAACAAGACAAGGCCAATTTTCACACATATTTCTTCTCTCTTAAAATTTCCTATTATGGCAAAAAAAAAAAAAAAATCTACCAATCAGGTCGCATCTAGAAAAGCGCGCCTAAAGCGCAATGCTTCATGGGTTTGCAGTTTTTACCTCATTGTAGTCATTACACACTCAATCTTGTACCTTTGTCTTTTTGTTCGATTTTCGAATTTTTTTTTCTTCAGTTGAAAGTGTGTAATCTTGCGATTTAACTGGTTTGGTTAATGGTTTATTGTGTGGCCCATCACTGGGCCGCACCAATTTTGCTATGTGGGAAGTTATATTTTACCAGCGAGTTGGATAATGTTTAAATGAACGTATAGTAGGATATAGTGGCTGTTTTAGAGCTTTGTGTGCTGCAGCAAAGGATAAATGGATTAATTTCAGACCATTATATTGATTATCTCAGAGTGCTGAGCTCACTGTGTGGATCAACCTCAGGCATATCCTGACATATCACAAATCAGTTTTCATAAATCCACACCGCACCAAAGTCCCAGCTATGGCCTAGTTATTTACTGAGGTCTGTACATTCATGACATAACAATCGAGCGTTATTTTGAGCTATGCCTCTGCATTACACAGCCAGAGTTTATCTCAAAGCCCCAAATATCAGTCCTACTATCGTACATTTCTACACAAGGGAATCTTATTGGAAAATTGGAAAATCGACATATAAAAATACATGAATTATTAATTAGTAAAATAAATAAAAAAAATCTGATTTAATATTTAAAGTATTGTAAAGTAAAACATTTATATTAGAATCAAAAATCTAAAGTGCGATGGTATCTGTTTTTAAAAGAATGACCCCTGGCATAAACGAAAACAATTAAACCACCAATGAGGCCTTGCTTTGCTGAATTTGTAAAAGTTGTCTCCTGTTGCTCATCTTTGAGTGTTTGCTGTCGTCTCAGGCTGTGCGGATCATGGAGTTGGCCCTGCAGAAATACGGCTCCTATGAGAAGTTTGAACAGGCTACTGGAGGAAACCTCCTCACCAAGAGCCGAATTTGGTACCATGTCAAAAAATACACGGAGAAGGAAGGATGCATGGGAGAGGTGAGAGAGAAAAAGCGTTATGCATATTCACAGTTAACTCCACTTTTAATTCAACCAAAAAAATCTCATGAACATCAAAAAGTAGAGAAAAATACGAAATAATTTGAACTTTGTGGTCAGTACGATTTTTTTTATGTTTTTGAAAGAAGTCTCTTATGCAAGGCTGCATTTATTTGATAAAAAATACAGTAAAATATTAGAAATATTATTACAATTTAAAATAACTGTTCTATTTGAATCTATTTTAAAATGTAATTTATTCCTGTGATCAAAGCTGAATTTTCAGCATCATTACTCCAGTCTTCAGTGTCACATGATCCTTCAGAAATCAGTATAATATGCTGACTTGCTGCTATTACTGACCCCAATCTTTTGAATGGTAGTGTAGTTTATTGATATTTTTATTATTGTGAGAGCTTTATGACATTTGAATGTAGAAATTCCTCTCTCTGCAGATTGTGGTTAATCTTACTGATGACCTCCTGTCCAGAGCGTCTATGACTGTGGTGAACAGCAGACCTACACTCACCATTAAAACCTCTACTGCCAGAGAGCAGTGGCTGGAGGGGATGCTGAGGCATGAAATCGGTGCGTGTTTGTCTATGTCAGCATCTGACAGTCCATTGAGTCTCCTATTGGAGAACTGAATAGAATAGTGAGACCCATTCAAGTCTTACACGATCCACCAGCTCCAGTCCCTTGTGTTCTGTACTTTGGATCGTGTCTCGGTCACCCCAGGAAAATCAGCCGTCCATGTCGGCAACAGCTTGTGTTCCTGCTGTCATGGACTATTACAGCCTGAGCGTATCAGAGCTCAGTGTCAGGACCACAGTAATTACACTCCCACGCTGTGTGTTCTCTCTCCTTCACTTCCTCTGATTGTCTGCTCAGAAATCAGGGGTTGGCTGCTGGAGACATAACCTAGCAACTATTTGTAATGTTTTGGTAAAGATATGTTCAGTAGTCACAAGCGAGTCCCTTGTGAAAAAGAAGTGTGGTTAATTGTATTATTAGTGCACTTGTAGTGTACTTCAAATATTGAAAGTGCATTTAAAAAAACTGTACTTGCAGATCATATAATATTTATAAAATAAAAGAACACTTAATTGTACTTAAAGAGAGACAATAAGTATATTGAAGTATATTTATATTATTTCCATAATAAGTACTGCTTAAAGTGTAATTTTAGTATGCTAAAAGGATATCACAAGGAGTGTGACAATGGCTCATAATCGTGAATGAATTGAGCTGCATTACTAAATTCATGCGTCATCTACATTTTTATATATTTTAAATGGTGATTAAAGCATCTCTATTCATTTTGCTTATACTTGCATTTTCTTAAGTTATGCCACACTCTAAATTATTGTTATTGGTAGAAATATTGATTAAAACATATATTTTTAAACATCCTGCTCATTCATCCTTCAAAGTAATGGTTCTTCGAATATTGTTGTGGACAGTGGGGGCCTCTGTGTATTAAATGACAACAGATTATTAATAGTTATTATAGTGGCTATTAATTTTGATGAACTTCCAGTATGAATTAATGAATCCAGATTGTTGTGATTTGGTTGCTAAAGCAAACCCGCCTTCATCTTTCACACAGGTACTCACTACTTCCGCGGCATCAACAACAGTCACCAGCCGTGGAGCAGTGGCGGCGGCAGGAAGAAACACGGTTTGCGGCCCATCAACCCCACTGAGGAGGGTCTGGCCAGCATCCACAGCGTGCTCTTCCGCAAGGACCCCACCCTGTGGCGCGCCGCCCTGCTCTACTACACCGTCTACCAGGCCAGCCGCATGTCCTTCTCACAGCTGTTTCACAACTTGGGCCGATTCGTCCACGACCCCAACACACGATGGGACTACTGCGTCAGAGCCAAACGAGGACAGACCGACACAGCACTGCCAGGTACAGCACTTCCTCCTGAGTAGTGGTCAGCCTATATGGATTTTTTTGATGCCGATATCTTATAGAGGAGGGTGGCTGATGACCGATATAAAGCATATATATATTTGATATCACACTTTTTAATTTAAAGATAGTAAAAACCTGCATAACAATTGCTGAAATTAAACTTATATTTATTTTACATAATATTTACTAAATTTGAAAGTTAATAAATATGAAAACAAATTTTTAACTTGATTAAAAAAATTATCTGTAAGGTAAAAATATTTATTTAGATGGCAATGATTCTATAATTATATTACAGTATTTTTCACAAATAAAGAAATTGTTACAAATATGAATAAAAAGAAAGGAAAACAATGTAACCAACAATTACTAAACAGTGCTGATATATATTTTTTTTAAATGCCAATTATTAGCTGATATATCGGCCTTGGCAATATATCGGTCAACCACTATTCCTGATTCTCAGGCTTAATGACTTACAGAATTATCATTGTGTTTATGCATGTAAATAATCAAATATTTTTGTTATTAAGGTTGTTTCAGTAAAGACCAAGTTTATCTAGATGGCATCCTGAAGATCCTCAGGCACAGAGACAAGATTGACTTCCAGCTGCTCATGGCTCTGGGCAAGGTCAGTTTGAAGTCAACATGTTCAAATGCACAAACAGGGTTTCCGCGGGGTCTTAAAAAGTCTTAAATTTAGTTGTATCAAATTTAAGGCCTTAAAAAGTCTTAAATTGTACAATAACGTCTTAATTATGATTTGAAGAGGTCTTAAATTTGGGGACGGAAAGACCAGAATTGCGATATGGCAGAATGTTACGATTAAACTTCAAAAAAGGCTACGATTTCTAAGTTCAAAGTCCGTGCTGTGCTGCTTTGTGTTCTGCTGTTACCGGGGAAACAGTGATATTTCAACCAAACGCGCCACCTGCTGGCAGAGAATAAGCATTTTCAAAAAGCCTGTTGTTCTGTTCAGAGTTCAGACCAATGCCAAAATCGGCCCATGTTTTTACCCTGCAAACACGCAGAGCTTTAAATATGAACTGGTGAATCGATAAGAAGATTCTAAAAATCTAAACAGTAGGGTGTGTTATATATATGGTCTGCGAAAACACACCTACAGAGTGCACAGTCTGCACACATACATTAGTTGATGAAGTCAGTTAATATAGGTTAAACTAGTACGCGCATTTAGAGTGTGTTCTTTCACTGCATGAATCGGTCTATTAAAATGCATTTAGAATGATCACATAATTCAAGATATGGGGGCAGAAAATGTATATATTTATATAATTTCATATAGTTAATATCACACGAAGAGTGCCGTTTTTTTCCTCCAAAAATTTACATGATTACAAATGTGATATTGATTTTATACAAATATATTAAGAGACACGTTTTAGACACCATATTGCCTGTTTTTGCTCTATTTCGACAACAAAACTCATTCCAAACACAGCACTGTTCTGCGTCTCTGAGCAACATGATAACTTGCTGCCACCTACTGGCGGTTTTAATTTCACATTTAAAGTATTCAAACATCAGTTTTCAATGTTTCATGTTTAAAATATCAAAACATTATTCATGCATTTTTAACTGCAGGTTAAAGTATTCCATGTCCCTCTGAGCTGCATTAAACTGTGTAAATACATCTAAATGCCACTTAAGACGCAGCTTCTGTGTTTCCTCTGCATTGCAAAGATCAATTTTGTTGATACTGATTTCATCTGCTTGGTAACAACCCAAATGCAAGAATTTGACTCAAAGGTTGTTGCACACTTTAAGAGAAAAACGACTTAAAGGTAAAAATGCCCATAAAACTTATTGAAAAAGATTAATTTCTATCACTGCTGTGAACTGACCACACAGAATATATATATATATAAAAATTCAGGACTTAGCTGTCCACGGTAGTACTTAAGATATCAGCACAGTAACACACTCAGCAAAATATCGTCTAATTATCATTATCGATAAAATCCCAGAAAATATAGAGATATTTTTTATCAATATTGCAAACCCCTAATTTGTTATTTAATTTATATAATAATTTATTGATAATAATTGTTTAAATTAATATAATAATTAATACTTTTGACTCATCCATTTTCTTAAAAATGGTTTAAAGGCTGAAATGTAAAGTTTATCATTTTATAAAACTTTTTGTTTTTTTTGTGAAAATTTTTATCTGAACTGTTAATTATGCTTTTTACAGTAGTTTTACAGTTTAATATGGTACTATAGACATTGCCCTACCCCGCTCATATGGTATTAATTTTATTTGTGCAGGTCTTAAACAAGGTCTTAAAAAGTCTTAAATTTGCGCTTAAAAATCCTGCAGAAACCCTGACAAAGTGTTACTTTACTGACACACTTTATTTTTAACTTGATTTTTTTTTTTTTTGCTGCACAATTAATCGAAATGTAACCAAAATCACAATATTCAATTAAATAAATACAAAGTTTTATCATGAAATTCTAGATGATGCAGGCCGATAGGTTCTAACTCAATCTGATATAATCACATCATCATTCACATGGCGCAGCTGATTGGTTTCTTTTCACATCAGCAGCCATTGAGCATGCTGCTTAACATACAAATACTCATCTAGTGCTTGCTGGAGCAGTTGCAGCGCGCTTCAGAAACCCTCCATCTTCCCCAGCTCCACCTGTATAGATCTGCTACGGGGTGATTTCATGTATGTTATATGCGCAAGTTATTTCAAATATTTTTTTTGTTCAGCAGCAGTATTTCCTACATTCTCACAGCAGCATGTATATTACCATGCTAACCAGACAGAATGACAGACAGAAATATATGCGTTGCATGTTTCAGTGAAGCGCAGCACTGTGTTCATTTACATGTGAGCAGCTCATAATCCATGTTTTAGCTTCTCGGATCAGTTCACAGTAGATGCTGCTCAACATGAACTCCATCTCTGCATCTGCTTTGAGTTTGAGTGTCTTTAACATGCAATTGGGAACAAAACATGAGCCAGCCATCTTCCCATACTTAAAATGTGAAGCGCAAAAGAGAACCTTTAAGGCTCCCTGTGGTTTTCTGTCAAAATAAAAGTTTGCTAGTTTAACGAGTGAAAAATCACATTTACATTTTTTCCCAAAATCATGCAGCCATATTTTTAACTGTGTGTGTGTGTGTGTGTCTGTGTGTGTGTGTTGTGCAGGTGTCTTATGAGGACGTGGAGCGTCTGAAGAGTCTGGCTCTGCTGGAGCACGTGCGGATTCCTCACTTCCTGCAGGACCAAGCGCGCTACACGGAGCAGCTTCACAAAATCATGGAGGTCAACCAGTTAACCGATGAGGAGCTGTGCACATTTATCTGAATTTATGTGACCTCCGACCTCCAGCATGAATCTCACAAAGCCTGTCCAGGTCATACATTACCATTCATAAATAAAAAACATGCCCAGGTCATATTTCACTAAAAACTAAAGAAAGAAAGATGAAATTACTCTTTGCATTAAAAATTAAGCCTATTTTTAGAAGCATTAAATATTTTAGAATTTTCAAATTATTTTAATGACACTTAGGTAGGGCTGCCCCCTAATAGTAGACTAACCATTTGTCGACGAGAAGAGGCTTAGTCGATCAAAATTGTGTTAGACGCAGGGACAAAAAAATCCACAGGAAGTGGCGAAGTCACATAGTCTGTGACGGACAGATGATTAACAGCTGGTCTATGTGGTAATTATAGTACATCGGTCAGGACATTCGTTTGGGACCTCAAATGTGGCTTATCATCTGAAACATGTAAGTAGTAGCATCATTACATGGCCGCTCGCTTGTAGGTTTATGAGTAGGTGTGGGGGAGGGGTTAGGATTAGGCAATCAGTTAGCGACTTCAAGGAGGGGGTGCAGAATCTGGCAGGGGTGCAGAATTCAGCATAACACCACGGTGCAATCATTTGCATTTAACTTAAAATTATATTTTTGGTCATACAGATAAGAGTAATACATCTTTCGAATCTGTAAAAGGTTTGCTTTTATTTGTGTGCACTCACAATAACAACAAAACGTTGTGCTTTTGTAAAATAATGAAAACAAGTAGGGTGCGCGTTCTGCCGTTTAGGTCTCTGTGAACTTGAGCGTGTCAAAAAAAAAAAAAGAACCGATACTCTGTGCTTAACTCACAGACACGAAAAGTATAGAACGCAAAATGTCAACTTTTAAATGAACCAATTCAAATGGAAAACAAATATTTTCAGATGATGTAATCCGTATGAAACGTGCATGTCCACTGTGGAGATGACGAGTCAGTGTCGTCGACTTCATCACTGCAGCCGAAAATACAGAAAACACTAGTTTATCAATGAAGTATTATGATGTTAAGGCAGTCTTCTTGCTGTTTTTTCCCTGATGCATTCATAATCATTTCTTCTGTGGTGCGCTGTGGCAAGCTTTAGGCTATAGGCATGGTTAGGCTAAAGGCTCATTATTATGAATTATATGGTTTATTAATATAAACGTGCGATTAGCCAACTATTAGTCGATCATAAAAATCTTTAGTCGAGGGCAGCCCTGCACTTAGGGCCTCTCACCTCAGATTTGTGTAATTCTTGTATCTCATTTAGCGTAAATTTACAAAAATCTTATTCCGATTACTGTAACGTGAAAATTAATTATCTTACAGTCATTAATCATTACCAATATTACAAAATGTAAAAACAAATGACCAAATGACAAAATGTTATGATGCAAAAAATCTTAATAGTTTTAAGACAGGCTTAATTTTTGCTCTAAATGTTTTTGTTTTTTGTTTTCTCATGAAGCAAGATTGGAAAATAAAGAGATTTCTGGGATAGAGACTCAAACAGTCACTCTATATAGGAGCTTATGGAGCTTTATTTGTTTTTCTCTGGTAAAACGTATAATTTTGAGGGGTTTTTTAGCCAGTGCGGTGCATTAAGTCCCCTGTAGTTCTCAGGACATGTGTGTTCTCTTTTGAGGGGATATTGAGGGGCCAACTTACCATCAGTTACAGATTGCCAAACATTCATATGTACTACAAGTTCCTTAAGATGTTTATTTCCTGAATTTTTATGACACTTTAATTTGTATATCTTATAAACTGCTTGATTTATATAATTTTTTTTTTTCATATTTATGATGGCATGTGTTTACAATATAACTTATTTACAATATAACACCCCCCCGTTTTTGGGAACCCCTGCTTTAAACAGTTTATGATTGCGAAAATAGTCATTTTCTGAGTGCCAAAATGTTAACCTTTGTTTAAAAAGTGTCCTTTATGGAAGTAGACAATCCTTTGTGTCTTAAATGTCACATACTAAATATACAGTATATGAATAACGTCTCACTAGCACAACTACTCTACCTTGACTGTATTGTTGATGTGTATGACCTTTGGCCTTGCTCTGCTCCTGCCATTTTCCCTTTGATCAAAAAGCACTTTGAAAGTTGCCTATAAAATGTTTTTATGGCCCATGACAACTTCTCAATATGATCTTAATATATCTGAATGAATAAAATAAATGTATGCCTTGCATTCAGACCAGCTCTGTTCAGATGTTAATTTTAAAGCACGTTAAATTGAATTAATGTATTATTTATAATTAATGAAATTATTTCAGACATTTTTCAAATATATTTTATTATCTCTTGCATACAGTAAGTGTTTGGTTATGAATCATCTTCCAAATGACTCTTTCCTAAAGTTTGGTGAATTTTAGACTGAGCAGTTTGTTGAAAAATATATTATTTTTTTAGTCTTATCAGAGAAAAACACTGGTCAAGCTCAACCTAATAATCCTGACCAAATATTTCACATTCTAGCAACTTTTTCCACCCTGTTACATGACATCTTTACGATGCAATGTGTTAGTAGGTTGGACACTAGCTAAAAAAAAGAACAACATCCTAGCAGAAGATTAACATTTAGGAAGAATACTAATAGATATATAACACCCGTTTAAAAAAAGAACTTTTTCATGTCCAGTACAAATTAACACAACAGGGTGGACAAGTTATGTTTTACAATATTAGATAAATCTTCTAAAATTAGGAAAAGTTTATGACTACTACATGCTTTGTTCTTGGAGTTGCTTTCCCTCCAAGGAAATGTCACATCTAGCAAGTCATGTGATTTAGGGTATATGCTTAAGAATTTAAAGGGTAAGTAACACCAGTGTAACAGGGTACAGAAGACTGGAGTTTGAGAGACATAAACTAATGGCTTTACACATTTAAAAAATGTATCACAATCATTTGTTTTATGTAAAAGAGAATGTGTACTGTATACTAATACTCAAAATTGCTAATTTCAAAATAAATGTAACTTTTATTTCAAATTGAAGGCACATCTATGCATGGAAAACCACATGGCATGAAAACTGAAAACCTAGCATTTTATGTCAAATATGCAGTATTGTTTCATGGGGACATAAAACCCACTGAACCATAGAAATGGCATCAAACTGCATGTAAGCACAGGACACTCGATCTTTAATTACAGGTGATTTTGTCCCTGACTTCCATCAAAGTATACTCATTGTTTACAAGTGAGCAATGATCAAGCTCCATTCCCACAATGCCCTCTCAAACACACGGTAAGTGATCTTTTGGCAAACTCTTTCCACCGGTGTCTGTTCTCGCATGTCTTTGTAACCAGATCACCTGCTGATTGACACCTACAAGGATGGACATGCAGGACAAAGGGTTTCTGTTTTCAGCTGCGCTTCACTCACACACACACACACACACACACACACGTCAAGGCTCATTAATCTCTATGAGGTCTTGGCTTTCACACTTCCTGCAATCTGTAGGATTAAACTGGGATTGTGGTGTCATGTGGACATCCATCAAGCTGAACAAATTAACATTGTTATAAATGTTGACATGCAACATATTTGTATTGAGATTTAAAAGAACTTGATGATGGTGTGTGTGGAAATCTGAGGCTTATATCTGTAGGCAGATGGGTTATACTCATAATCACATATAATGAGACTATAAAATCATCCCGTCCTTCTTACATCAGCACTAATTAATGTTGTATAGAAATGCAAATGTAATCAAAGGCATTTGAACTGAACAGAGGAAGAGTTCCACTTAAAAATAGCTGATTATCTATTTATTAATTTAAAAATTCCAAATGTAAATAAAGTGAAAAAGTGAAAGTGACGTGACATGTGGCCAAGTATGGTGACCCATACTCGGAATTAGTGCTCTGCAGTTTTTTAAAGCAAATTGTCAATTAAAATTAATGTTAAAAGTTGTGTTTAACTATACGATTTAAATACTACATTAATAAACTATATATATAAATAAATTTTATTTTGACTGCTCTTTTTTTAATTTGCCATTTAGTTATGAAATGCACATTTATGCAGTAAAGGTAAGTGGCCACTAGAGGACACACATGGGCAGCTTTACTGAAAAGGAAAAAAAATCATAAATCCATGTTTCAAATGTATTTATGGGTGTATATTAAACAGGATAGCTGCTGATCAATATGTTATGATTGTGCAGTACATATAAAACATACTGTACATTTGATTTGACCTAATTTACTGAAGCTAATAGATGTTCTTTTGATAATGTGTACATGAAAATCTGAAAGATCTGTTAACCAAAAAGCAGAAGTGCTGTAGCTGTAACTCACAGCAGATGATCAGAGCAGTGACTCGACATTAGCATGAAGTGACTGACATTGTGTCCAACAGTATTTTTCACAGTAGCTGTAAGGATCATCTGCTGAGCGTGTAAAGTTCACTGAGCATGTGTGTCAGAACCTGCCGTTGAGCAAACAGGTGAATGTTTGCTAGATAAATAGCGGAAGTCTAAAAGCAGATAGACAGAAGTATGAAAGAGGACTTTCATCTTAAGCCATTTTTCTCCTGCTACTCTAACAGTCAAAAGTTCTTGAAGAGTGAGATTGTTAATGTTTTTGAAAGAATTCTCTTCTGCTCACCAAGGCTGCATGTATTTGATCCAAAATACAGCAAAAACAGTAATAGTGTGAAATATTAATGCCATCTAAAATAACTGTTTTCTATTTCAATATATTTTGAAAATGTAATTTATTCCTGTGATGAAAGCTGAATTTTCAGCATCATTACTCCAATCT